TTTCCCTACCACCATTTTGCTCAGTTGCTATTTGGTTTCCTAGTCTTTGCTTGCCTTCTGTGGAGGGATGGATAGTACAAAGACGGAAGACTAAATAGCTTTTTTCCTGAAGTTTTGAAAGGAAAATTCAGGCCCTAGTTTGACATTTATTTAAGCTGATAAGGCAACTGAATAAAGGATCCTACGTCCTTCTTCACCTTGGTGTTTTGTGACTTAAGTCAGATAGCGAACTAGTGTGATCTCGCTGAAAATCAATGTGTCCAAATGGTAGGGAATAATCCCTCCCTTCCCAAACAACTGATGCTGCCTCACTCTCAGCAAACTGCATATCAGGGACTGAGCTATTCAAATGCCTCCTGCTGTAAAAATAAGTTCTGTTCTCAGCCATGCTTTTTTTTTTCATGCTACTGAATTTGTAGGTTTATCTGACTCTTATTACTGAGACAGTGCCCTGCAACAAACACTGAAGTGTTTTCTGCCGGTTTCCTTAACTGAATCAGTTCATCAAGGTGTTTTGTGAGCTCCAGAGATGGTGAGAGAAATGGGCTGGGACTGTACAGTTGAGTGCAGCAGGGGCGGGATCAAGCTGTTAGTGGTTTGGAGAATAACCTTGTGCAGATGTAAGACAGCTTGTGGTGGTACAGTAAAGAGGAGGATACAGCTCTGTGAGTGAGTATGCAGGGAGCCAGAACCGTGTCTCTTTCTTCATCAGCAGTGACAGCTTAAATGCAAGTCAAACTACCGTTTTCTTCCAGCATGTCTCTAATAGCTCATCATCCTGGCGTAGGCTTTATCCATGAAGTCACAGGGTCAGTCCAGTGAAAGCTTTGCAATACTTAATTCCTCTTCACAATCTCCACGATTATGACTTTCCTTTTCCCCGTTTTTAGGTATTTTAAAAGGTCCAGATCCCAGATAGGATGGGTAGAGGGGACAAGGAGATGGTCAATGCTCATTACTTTGCAAATAGTCTTCAGTATTTGGTGGGGTGTTTTAAAAACATACTGCATTCAGAAAAAAGAAAAAGCTCTTCTGTGCTCCCTGCTATGTTAGATCTGTAATACTTTTTCCTTCTATTCCTTCCATTTCTGTAGAATTAGGCCTTGGAAGAAAATACACAACATTACTGCCACTTAAAAGGAAGCAAAATAAATGCATCTCTTAACCTTTTTATATACCACACAGAATCAAAAAAGTGCCTGAGTCCATTAAACAGATTGCTCATTTTCATTCTTAATGTTGCCACTTGCCTATTTAAACCGTTTTCAACTCGTGTTTCCGTACAACAGTAACATTTATTTCATGGTAAACTTTGATGTAATATGTGTGCATTTTGCATCTCCTTTGATATTTCTGCTTGCTCCTTTGCAAGGCCTTTGGCAAATGACTGGCTGCCTTCTGACTTTTTGTCTGAACGGATTTACTCTGTCACCGTTCAGAGCCGTGAAGAAACGGAAATAGATTCCTTGTTTGCAGCCAGTGCATTTCGTTCTTTTTAATAGCTTTTCTGTGCAATGTCGGACTAGCCAATAGCAGCATATAATTAGAACTGCTCTGGTTGCACTGGTATCTTTTGTATTGATGTGATACCATTTTTTTAACTTCCTTTTAACCTGTAAGTGGTGATCAAAGATATTTTCTAAACGTTTGAACTGCTGTTTATGCATCTCCTTGGCTCAAATGGAACGATTCATGTATGTGCTGCAGCAGATACCCCCATCTCCTGAATGGGTAGGACGCAACAGAAGCAGTTTTGCATCCTCTCTCCCCTTACAAATCTTCCACATATCCGTTTTTAAAAGTCATTTGAAATGGGCTTATACTGCATAATGCTCCAGTACATTTGCAATTATTGACAAAATGCAGTGTCTCTTACGTTTTGGTTTGCTTTTGAAGCTATGACTGGAAACAGAGAGATGAATTTTCCAGTGCTTTTATAAGCTTACAATTTTAGGATCGGCTTCCCTGGTTGCCTCAGCGATCTTTTCTGTTAACAGAACTCTCCCTTCTTGCTCACTCACACTGGACCTTAACAGAGAATTTCCATTCTAATTAGTTTTACCCTCAGAGTCAAGGAGGGTGCATTTAAAGTACACAATCTAGGGAGCAAAACATTAAAATACATTGTAAACCTCCCCTTTATACTGACTTCTGTAATGGAAAGTCATCTTTAAGAGGTGTGGATGAACTTTTTAGCTTCCCTCCCCACCTTCTGACTACAAAATAGTGCCTGAAATGGAGAGATTAGCTGCTACTCCCTGCCCTCCCTTCAGCTTTAGATAACCTTTGTGTCCTTCAAGTTAACCCCAGGGTAGCCAGCGCAGAAAAACGAGTTGTGGGTACCCCTTGTTCTTGATGGGGTAGCATTGTTTAGGCTTCAGATAAGAGATTTAGCTTGGGAGTTTAGTGGAATATATCTCGTGTGACACAGACATCTATCCATCTGTAAAATAACCTATACTTCTGTAAAAAATACAACCACCAAAACCACCACCACCAAAAGAATCCCAAAATAAAACCCTAAACAAAGGCCAAACCAAAAAACCTGATATTTCTCAAGAATTGTTAACTGAGTTGTCAACTTGTTTAGAGCAGGAGAACCTATCGGAAGAATTCATTAAAAATTGGTGTTTTCTAGATAAACTTAGGTGTGGTTATGGACATGTTCTGCCTTGTGAAGCCTGGTTCTTCAGGGGCCATTCTGTTCAATGAAGTGGTGACACTTTGTCTGTGTCTTTGCTGGTCATGCACTGAAGGACTATCCTTTGGGTTCCTGAAAACGTGCCCTAAGAGCCATGGGCAGATTAAGAGTATTTCTCACTTCTCCACAAAGGTGATAAGAGAATCAGAAACCTGTGAAAGTGACTGTTGCAAGTAATGCAACCAAATCATCTGAGCTGAAAGTTATGTTCCGTTCAATTTCTGTATTAGTCGTCGTTTGAGTTGCCATAATGCTAGTAATGTGGGTTTTATTTAATAAAGCATTTCTGTTGTGACTCACTGAATGGTCTCCAAACTACTTACGTTCATTGTAGACCTTTCGGGCTTCCGTCTTGCCTTTATTGTTTTGTTACTTCATTATATTTTTGCGTTTTCCCTCCCGTTGTTTCTATGCTGTGTTAAAACAGCTGCCAAACAAGAAATACCAAGCCCTTGCATTTTGTACAGAAATCTTGAGAAGGTATAAAAGAAGGGTCAGTTTATTTGTTCTGTATTGCAGCTGCAGTGAAACGTGGCTTTCTCTGTGTTCCATTAACAGCTAGCTACCCTTTCACTCTTGAGGACATGTGAATTAAGAACAATTCATCTGTTTTAACAGCATGTCTTGGATATAAACTGAAAACCTCACACCCAGAAATGTTAATATGCAGTGCTAGGCTCAAACACTGTGAAGTGTCTGTTGCCTAACAAATAAAATACAGAAGTGATCCTAATGTATAGAATTCATTCTTATTTATACTGTTGTTTTGCTTCCTGGGGTCTCTTTATAATGCAATGCCTTTTGTTTTTTTCACCAGCTGAAAGAGATAGATGCCAAAAAGATTATCAGAGCAATGTTGTCTTACGTGTGGCCCAAAGACAGACCAGACCTGCGAGCCAGAGTAGCCATATCTCTGGGCTTTTTAGCGAGTGCGAAGGTAAGAACAGATACTTCATTGTACTGTAGTAGTTACTGTTCATCTGGAGTTCATGCAAGGAGTAGGGTTTTCTTTTTATTATTTAAGGGTTTTTACAATCTTAAGATGTTTCCTTTATGAGGAGCCTAGAGCATTAGAAATAATGGGTTTAAATTGAAAGTGGGGAGGTTTACATTAGATATCAGGAAGAAGCTCTTCCTGGAGAGGATGGGGAGGCACTGGGACAGGTTGCCTAGAGAAGCTGTGGATGCCCCATCCCTGGAAGTGTTCAAGGCCAAGCTGGATGCAGCTTGGAGCAACCTGGTCTAGTGGAAGGTGTCCCTGCCCATGGCAGGGGGTTGGAACTAGGTGATCTTTAAAGACTCTTCCAACCCAAACCGTTCTGTGAATCTGTAATAGCTTAGATTTTTTAACAGGGGGTGTGTGCATGTGGGGTGTGTGTGTGTGGTTAGGAAGATGAAGACCAGATTTTTTATTTCCAGTGCTCACGTTAGTTTAGTCCATGATTTTCTCCAGTGCTCACGTTAGTTTAGTCCGTGATTTTCCATTGCCCATGACCTGTGATGTAAAACATTAACTGGCAATGTCAGTTAAAGGTTGCTTACAGATCTTCTCTTGTGTGGTGCTGGATCTGTCAAACAAGATTTCTTCAAGGCTCTGTGCCCGTTCTGAGCTCTGAACTTGAGCAATGTGGTGATACCTGCTCACAGCTCTTGCCGTGCTACGGAAAAGGGAATGTGAGCTGCAGTCTAGATTTTTCTCTGTAAGATGACAGTGGAATTCCTATTGTTTCAGGGACCCCTGGTGTCCCAATGAGAGAGAAGCTGTAGAACTTACTTTTTATATGGGACCATGCTTTTTTCTGCAAATTTTTCTTATAGTCTATTGGTTATGCAATAGAGGGTTGCTCTTCTCTTTGTGCGAAAGGATCTCTTATACTTTTGCCTGCAAGAAAATTAGTGTTTGTTTGTTCTTAGAAAGAAATAGGCAGACACAAGCTTTTTACAGGTTAATTGAGGATATAATTCAGATTTTGTGCAAGCCTTGTAGGTCGTGTTCAGAAGAGCAAATGTTAAATTTATGTAAAATTATCTTTTGCTTTTGAAGAAAAAATAATTTGATCACAAAATATTGGGTGAAAGGTTTAAGTTTCCTTGAGATATGTCTCTGCTGGATTGCTTCTAAGGATGGCCATTTTTACCAAGTGTAAGGCTGACATCAGTATCTTGCTGGGTTAAGCTAAGGTAGGTACTACTTGGCGATGAGTTTCAGCACTGGAGCTGGTTGCACTAGCAATTTATTAGCATTCAGAAACATTGTCATGTTACAAAAAGAGAGAAGAAAGAATTTCAGCCATGTGGGTGATAAGAGAAGAGAAAGGTACTCATTCACTTGGCCTGCAGAGGGAAGGCCAATCGTTTGGTGTACAGCTCTTCCTCCTGTGCAATCTGTCAGGTGCTAGCTGGTGCTGTCTGCAGTAGATATTTTGGTTTGTGCTGCTGTTGAGACGTTGCTGATAGTGCAGGTGACAACATGTGCAATATGACATGTCCACACAAGTAAACTTCCACCCTCTTTGTATGCCTGTGCAAAATACACAGCAATGCTTTCGATTACACTGAAGTCTATCTGGGAAACTATCTGCTCAGGATGCCGGTCCTGGGAGCAGTTGGCAGTGTATAATGTGTGGTTGTCCTCACAATAATATTTAAACGATTATATGCTTGGTTTGTTCAGGTTTTGTGATGTGTGAATGTAAGAATACCCCGTTTACCAGATGAATATGAGAATTATTCAAACTCATTTTCTTTTTAAAGCCTCTTATTAGGAATGTTGTTCATAATCTGAAGGCAATTTTGAAATAAATTTGAAGTGTGTTTTCCTTATTCTCTTCTGCACTTCCCCCACTTTCCTAATTCGTAGGGTTATGTGACACTGATGGAGAATGTGAATCCAGAATCCATTCCTGCATGTGGCAGCTCTGTACCTTGCTTTTAGGAAATCTTTTAATGTTTCAAGCAGCTTTCTGGGGTGTAATGAAAACAAAATTGATGGTCAGGAGGCCCGACTCTTGCAGATAGCTCTGTACTTGGTATTATACAAGGCTGTTATATCTCTACTGGTAGAGCTGTTTCTCCCTGTCAGAAAATCAGACACTTAATTGCTCTTTGGGGAAGTAACTGGATCTCTTAAGTATTCTCTTAAATGTCCTACTTCAGAGTCTGTACAAGGCCGCCTGGAAGCCCTGATGTCCGGAGCAGATTCTCAGAGCAGAAAAGCTGTTGAGTTTTGCCTAGGTTTTAGATGTCTGTTAAAGCAGAAGTGTTTTGTGAGAATGTTTGTTTTGGCAAACACGGATTTCATTGGGAAAACACAACAAGCTCTCTACAGAATATAACAACTGGCTGGGGTGAAGAATTTCACGGATGTCTTCTGGCTCTCCTTTGCTTCTGTTCTTTGTTTGGGCTGTTTCTGTCGTAACAAAGTGTTAGAACTCAAACCTTTTCAGATAACTGCAGTTCAACAAGTTGCCCCTCATCACCCGAGCTATGCCCACTCATCCTTTGTGGGGTAAATGTGTTTAAATCACTGCACGCTTTACGTGTCCGAAGGATGTGTGTGGGTGTTGGGGCATAGCTGACGCGCAGTGGTTTGTTACGGAGCTCGAAGAAGTCTTTCATACCTTTGAGCCCTGAACATCTGCTGTTCTTACAGAGCAAACTAAAGGTCACTTTGTCCTAGAGAAAATTAAATACAAATTGGTTTACCTGTAGCTTGCCTGGACGGTGTATAATCCCATGCAGTTTCCTTATCCCATTTGGGAGCCCTTTGTTCTGATTGCTCGTGAGGTTAATTACAATGTACTTGACAGACCACACAAGCAGTTTGTTGAAGTATCTCTGCTATATGGCTGTGTCAGAGAAGAATGCCAGCATGTCTTTCTCCCCACTGCAGTCCTGACCGGATTTCTTTGTTCACTATGGACTTGTCTGCATCTGAAGGATTTATGTCCTTATTATTCATTTTGGCTAAAGGCTGCTCGTTCTTAGGGGTTTTGCTGAGAGAACGATATGATCATGATGCCTGCTACTAGTCACCTTCCCCAGCAAGAAACAACTTCTGTAAGCCTTTTGGCCCATTTCTTCTGAGTTTGAAGTTTCACACCTCTGTATTTATAAAGTTAAGTTTCTAGTTAGAAGAAAAGATCCGAATGGTCGCTCTCACAGACACAGGCTGGAGGGTGACTTCAGTTTTATTCTAAGAGAACTCCAGCGAAATCACAGAGGAGAGGTAGGCTATCAAATCCTCAACCACGGAAAAATATAATCGGTTCACACCCAGTTTGACTGGACTTACCCACAAAACACAGAAAGCTTGGAGACCCTACCTCCTTGTCCTGCTGCTCGAGAAATCGTTTGTCTCTAAGTCTTCCAGTTCAGTAAAATGCAGTTTCAAAAGAAACGCCAGTTTGTGTGCAGCTACTGAAGAGCCTGCAGTTACACTCTGTCTTGACTCCTTCTGTGGGGCCCAGTCGCCTGTTATTGAAGAAATTATTGTGATTTTGGGTTCCTTTTTGTCTGTGTGTAAGCACTAGTGGTCTTGTCAGCCTTTGAAGTGAGCCATGGGTATGGCTGCTTATGGCTGGGAGCTGACAGGAGGGAGTCTGTTCTGGGGCTAGTAAGGTCTTTTTCTTTTTTTTGGACGATTTGTTGTATTATGACACACTTTAAATTTGTATCTTAAATATTTATAGCCTGTCCAGATGTGTATGATCTCAGAGATGCAATGAGAAGATAGGTGAGAGGAGTACACAAGGCTTTAGCTATGTTTTCAGGTGCATAGATTGTCCTGCTCAGGTTCTACACATCCGGTTTTTCTTTTTCCATATTCCCTCTCCCAGTTTTTGTCATCTCTACTTGGGATGTATAGTACATGCCTCTTTACCTTTCTGTTTCTTCCCTTTTTTCTTCTGTGGCACAAGAAGTAGTGGTGCTCGGGCTTTTGAGAAGCTAGATGAAACACATGGATATGACAATACTACTTGTCACCTCTGCCAGCCTGTGATGGTTTTTGGCCTCTTGGTTGCAGACCAAGCATGTGCTATTCGCCAGCCAGAGAAATCTTTCAGACTGTCTGCATTTCTGCTGTCTGCTAATTCTGTATGTTTTGGGAGAAGAAATTATTTGGTTAAGGAGGCAAGACCCAAGTGTTGTGTTGTTAATTTTGTCTGGTGCAAAAATAATGGTATCTATCTGATCGGTTAAGTATGTATGTATGATCTTGGTCTTTGAGCACTTTGTGGGCTCAGAGGGAGTTAGATAATTACAATAAGCCTATAGCAACTGATGGCTCTTCGAGAAGATTCGGGTGAAATGTATTTTAAATTTTTTTTTTTTTCCTCTTGCTGGAAATTGTACATTTCAGGTCATCATTAAATTCGATGAAGGCCTGAAGCCCGTTGCTTCCTCCCTCTTCTGGACCACATTTTATAGCTCCCTTTGCAGTCTTACCCCTGTAAGGGATGGAGTTTTCTGTTTACATTTCCAGAAATGGAGTTGTTGGATGTGTACATTTGTATTGGTCCAGAGATAAATTCAGTCATCTTCATGTCAACGTTTCTCATTGAATTATTGGCAAAAGAAGAGTTCACTGTAGACCAGTTTTATCGTGTTGGGGCTCAGCCTGTCACTAATTCATCATCTTTATTAAACAAGAAATACTGGGAAGAGCAAAATGAAAGATAAGACTGTTTGCCTTAAATGTAGCATAGTCCCACGAGGGAATAGATGATGATGCGTTGTCAGCTTAAAACAGTGTAGTCATTAAAAAAATGTTTGAACTTGTTTAAGCATGATGCATTACAGCATAACGTGACAGTAAATGGGGGTAGTTGAGTTGGGATGAGTTCATGGGTGCTGTATTTGCTTTCCAATAAAATCAGACAGGGATAAGCTATTAATTGGAAACGATAAATAGAAAATGTACAAATTTGTGAGAAAAGGGTCTTTTAAATGGAAATGGTTAACAAGCTTTCAGGCATTAGGAAGAAGAGGGAAACCTATATAGATACATGGCATAAAACAATTGTTTTGCTTGATAGTTTTTCATAGCGTACCGAGGTGTGCTTAAAGCTTGTTGTTCTGTGCTGGCCAATCTAGGCTACTGAGAGAGCTGTGAGTTTATGTAGAAGCCTGAAATTTCGTTTCCATTAATGTGTACGTGATCTCATTGACTTAACAAATTGAGTAGGAAAGGCCTGTTTCTAATCATGGCCTCTCACCTCTATTGCTCTAAACTTTGTAAGATTAACTTTGTTTTTAAATTACTGGAAAACAGACTGTCTTGATTGCTAATGAAGTGCAATACCATTCTGCCTTGTTCTTATTCAGGCTTTACCCTCTAGGAGTCAGAACAACTGTAACCTGAGACCAGGCTTTAAATTTCATTTAAAACTCTATTGGGTAGAATTATATTGATGTAAAAGAAGACACTTCTGCAAAATTGTAGGCTGTTACAGGTTAAATTAATTGCAAGTGGAGAACTGCAGTTAAAGAACACATCTCTTTTCTTTAAATGGACTTTAAAATATATTTGTAGTTGTACTTTTAAACTACCTCTAGTGTAGTATAGTCCACTGGAGAGTAAAATCCCTGCAGAGGGATTTGGGAGGATCTGCAGCAAATCAAGACAATCTGCATTACAATACTCCGTATATTCTACTGAGTAGTCTCTCCCAGGAAAACCTGCACTTTGTCACGTTGGTCATCACTGTAACACACATGGTTGTGTATTTGTCTCTATTAAGAGCAAAATGCCACCTAAAAATTGAGTTGCAGTGACTCTGAAGGGGAAGTAGGGTTTTTAGGTTGTACTGGGGAAGGGAGGGAGGGATTTGAATTCCAGTTTTGTAAAGATTCAAAATCTCTGTTAATGCATCCTCAGTTCTTCGTAGGGCTTCATGCTTAAGGTTGAAGCATGTAAGGGCACTAACTGTTCGTCTGCTGAGTACGGGTGAAGTTATCAGACGTTACTGTATGCTGCTGCTTTGATGGCATTTGTTGGCTTTCTGCAGGTAATGCTAACCTTCGGGTGGGTTTTTTTAATGGCGATTTCCACAACTCTGATCTGTTAGAAGGGGAGCTGTTGCTGAACGACTTGCACTGGTTAAATTTCCGAAGAATGTGTTTGAAGTAGGACCGGATCTTTCAGCTGTTTTCTCTTTTCAGTCACAAACTAACCAGTAATAATCTCCCCTAGATGCTGGCAGATGTCACCTGTCTCAGGAGTTGTCTGTATTGAGAATTTGGTAGTGTTCAGTTGTTTTTTTTCTTCCTATCTTTGTGCATTTTATAGGGAAGTCACAGAGGGGAAGAGGAGAAAATGGATTCCTTCCTAATTTGCAAATAATAATACAAAACAGAAAACAAACCAACTTTGCTTGAAGTCAGGTCACTGTATTTTAATGTCTGTCATGATTAAGATCGTAGGTCTTAACATAGAATCACAGAATGGTTTAGGTTGGAAGGGACCTTAAAGCCCATCTAGTCCCAACCCCCCTGCCATGGGCAGGGACACCTTCCACTAGACCAGGTTGCTCCAAGCCTCATCCAGCCTGGCCTTGGACACTCCCAGGGATGGAGCATCCACCGCTTCTCTGGGCAACCTGTCCTAGTGCCTCCCCACCCTCTCCAGGAAGAATTCCTTCCTGATGTCCGATGCAAACCTCCCCACTTTCAATTTAAACCCGTTACCCCTTGTCCTGTCGCTACAGGCTCTTGTAAAAAGTCCCCCCCAGCTTCCTTGTAGCCTCTTCAGGTACTGGAATTACCAGTTAACATACTTTTTTGGTTTTTAGCAGTTCAACCTTACTTTTGAATCTTCACAGTTAAAAGTGGTTTGAATTCATGAATTCCATTAATTATATGAAGTTGGACAATTTTGTGTTGATATGAATGAGTGATGTAACAATGGAACATTGAGACTTGAACATTTTGTGTTTTCTTTAAGATTTTCAGTGTTTTGTCACGGTACAGTTGTGCACATAAATCCTGCAGCTGATCTGTTTACATATCCAGCTGTCTTGGTTTTGGCATGTAGACGCCACTGTTAGAGGAGATGCACTTGGGTTTGGTGCTCTTACATACAGTACATCACTAGGGATTTCTGTTAGGCTGTGGGTATGACTTCGGTAATTTGTTGGAAAGCTGCTGTTTTTAATTTGTAGTGCCTCGTAGATGCTATGGAGGTGTGTTGTGCTGCTGTGCCAAACAGGTTACTGTAGGTATTAAGTTAATGTTTATTGTGATGCTGCAAATGGAAAGTGTTAGTTAAATATTGAGGTGATATTAACAAACCTTAGGGACAAAGGGTAGGTTAACTTCTCTTTGACTTGACTAGAGCCTTGGTTTAACACAGGTCGATTGACCCAGTCTTAGCAATATGCTGGCGAGTTGTTTCTCTCGTAGTAGTGGTTCTTCACCCTGTGCATTGACAGTATCACAAGGAGCAAACAACCTGTAATGACGACATAATTTAGTAGCATTGTGAGTATGTGTCACGCAGTGTCTACTTGATTCATTTCCTGGCCTTGCCATTGCTGTACCGACTGCTCAGCCTTTGCAGTGTACAGGTTTCGTAGAACAGAAATTGATATTTAAAAGGAGCCAGTGTGAGAGACTGAGTAACCCTGCTGTCTCAGGAGTAAAGACTTAATAGTATGGAGAACACTGTGCTTGAAAACAAGAGAGTCCTCTCACCCACGCTAAAGAACTACATCTAACAGTAGTACAGCGATTTCAGAACCAAGTCATGTTCTATATATCTGTCTTAATGCATATGGACTAATCGGTGTTCTTCTGCTTTTAGGCCATGAATATATTGGTTCCCTTCATGTTTAAATATGCAGTAGACAACCTCAACCAGGTATCTGGAAACATACTCAACCTCGGCGATGCGCCGAATACAGTGGCAACTGTGGCGACTGCTGTTCTCGTTGGCTGTAAGTGGTATTCCCAAACCCCTTGGCAGGGGTTAACGTTGTTCTGTGAGGTAGTGGGATCACAGAGCTTCTGACCTTTGGCCTGCAAACCACCTGGGGTGGTTATTTCATAGTTACTTCTATGGTGATGTCCATTTCCAGTGTTCTGTGACCTTGCTTCTGGTATTCCAATTAAAAAGATGAAGTAATGCTTACAGAAATGACTCGTGATTATGAATCCTGCCCTTCCTTATAACCAGCTGCCACAGAAACTGATGTAAAATGTGCGCGCAGTGGTTTGTAAATGAAAAATAGCGTAAAGTTTTGGACCAATTAAGTATAAATTAAATTATCTTTGAACCAAAAATGTTGACAATATATAAAGAATTAGTCTAATGTAATTTCATGCATGAAAGGAAGTTGGAAATAACATTATTTTAATTGTGTAAACTTTTTAATCCTTTTTTCAGATGGTATCTCAAGAGCTGGGGCAGCGTTATTTAACGAAGCTAGAAATGCAGTATTTGGGAAAGTAGCTCAAAATTCAATTAGAAGGATAGCAAAGAACGTTTTCCTGCATCTTCACAACTTGGATTTGGCGTTCCACCTAAGTAGGCAAACGGGAGCTCTGTCTAAAACCATCGACAGAGGAACGAGGGGCATCAGTTTTGTTCTTAGCGCTTTAGTGTTCAATCTGGGACCTACCATGTTTGAAGTGGCACTGGTCAGTGGAATTCTGGTACGTGTTGTTTATTCATGAGTTGGAATGGTCTTCTTCAGGAGTAATACTTTGGTTTTATTTTACCGAAGTTACTGAGTTGATAATAATAATTACAATTTACAAGGGAGTGATGAAAGCAACTACTGTTAAGGAGAGCAATCCATTATTTTCCAATATTAGTTACTTTAAATTGGCTTATTGGAAATTATTTTTACATTTAACGCCTGTCTTCAGGCAGTGATACTGATGTGGATAGTTTCTAATGTTTTGCTTCAGAATTGTCAAAAAAATGAAACGGGAAAAGTAAGCTGCGCACAGATGTGTCAGATATCTGGGTAAATACTGAGGAAGCAGAATATAAATGTTCAGGGATGCTGTGTCTTAGTGTGGTGAGGATAGAGGAGGGAGTGATTATTGGCTCTCTTCTCAATATTGTTTTTTGTGTGAAAATTATCTTTTAGAAAATAGGCTTCTCCTTCGTGCAGGTTTTAAGCTCAATTTTAAACTTTTCTTTTATAATAAACTTTTCTTTTATAATTTCTCTTATAAATCACACTTAACTGTCTCTGAAATCAGGATCGTTGTGTATTTTATGCTAAAATCTAAATTGTGATTGTGTAGCTTCGACTAAATTAAAAGCCAGAATCTTGTTTTGTTTATTCTATTTCTTTTTAGAAGGAATTAATTACATTTAAATGTAAAAATTTGAGTTAACCCAATACCAGCAGGCGTTTTGAATTTTATAACCTTTGGAAGTTGCAAATCAAGCTGGCTGTCAGCCAACCAGCCACGATGCTTTAATTCTTCTTCTTAAGGCTTCTCCCTCCTGATGTACCCTGAAGTAGAGAAAACGCTTCCTAAATTGTTTTGCAAGGCCATTTATTTCTTCTGCAGTCTCCAGCTTTCTTTCAAAATCCACCCAAAAAGCATGTAAACAAATACTTATTTGTGCTAACAGCACAAACAGCAGCAGCATTCATGTTTTACAGTGGCAAAAGTAACCTGCCAGTATCCTGTTAAATCTTAGCTCTTGCTTACCTCTTCCTGCCTTATCTGTGCCCTTCTCCTTCCTCCTTCCCTTTGAGTTTATGCCTGTATTTAGTCACAAGCTGTTCAGAGCAAGGAGTGTGCTGGGAGAGACCTTCAGAGGTCTTGTCTGGGGCTAAGCTGTCATAATTTTGAGACAACAGTGAAGTTCTGAAAATTATTATGACTTTGTTTTATTTTAAATCTTCCAGTATTACAAATGCGGTGCAGAGTTCGCTTTAGTTACTCTGGGGACGCTGGGAGCCTATGCAGCATTCACAATAGGAATTACACAGTGGAGGTAAGGCATGCCCTCAGATTCATCAGGCCACTTAGCATTGCCTCAGCCTGAACTCCTGACTCTGCTAAGCTTTTATTTTACAGGACTAAGTTTCGAATAGAAATGAACAAAGCAGATAACGATGCGGGTAATGCGGCAATTGACTCACTGCTGAATTATGAGACTGTGAAGGTAAGACCAATCTTTACTACTAAGCTCTTCATCTTACTTTTGTCAGCTTAAGGAAAGTGAGTCACAAGATTCATCTTTTATAGGGCTACATATCTGGAGCAATAGCATATTTCAAAAACATTCGTCATTTGAAGAGTACAACATGATATTGGTAGAGTAGCACAGAAGTTGTTAGTGGGGCTTGAAAAAAATCTATTTGCTGAGAAAGTGAGAAGTTTTTAATGACCGAGTCACCTTGACCATCAGTTTCTGCAGAATGTCAACTTACTTTAAGCTTGTCTTCACTTGTTTGCCCAATTGTCTTAATGTCAGCCTGTAATGTGCTCTTCTCAAATGACCACGCGTACTGTTTTCGCTGTCTGCTGCGGTTGGTAGCACTCCACTGCAATGTTTGCATCGAAGAACAGGTCTCCTGGTGGTTCTGCTGCTGCTACTAATAAAAAATCCTGTGGGCAGCTTTGAAATTGTCCAGGCTCGTGTTTGTTTTTTGCCTCTTCTAATTGGAGAGCTAGAACTGGCCAGATAGGCAGTGGAGCTGTATGTGAAGGAGGACGCAGAAGCAGACATGGTATGAGAAGTCCTGTGCTGGAGGATTTGCCATCATCATGGTAACAAGGATGTTCTAGTACATAAAGGACAGTAACTTTTGCTTCTTTTTAGTATCTAGTAGCAGCCGGTGTTTGGTTTTGACATTAATGGGGTAGAAGTTCTGCAAGACAGTCACTCAGGGTTACCAGGGTATGAGTATGGTAGGGATCTCCATAATGTCTCCTTTCCCGATGCAGAATGTGCTGGATTTGCTCTTGTCCTTTGTCTTCGCACACTAGTTTTTTATTCTTCTTCTCTCTGTACTTGAGTGCTGGATTTGCTCTTGTCCTTTGTTTTCACACACTAGTTTTTTATTCTTCTCTCTGTAGTTGTTAGAAGTGTTGGAGGGGTTGTGTGTGTATCTGTGCATGTAGTATGTTTATACTGAAATTTACTAGTTAAATGTGCAATCTAGTTTGTTTGAAAATGACATTTATTGTTTCTGTGTATATCGTAGTATTTCAATAATGAAAAATATGAAGCCCAGCGGTATGATGAATTCTTGAAGATCTATGAAAATGCCTCCCTGAAGACTACCTCTACTTTAGCTCTCCTGAACTTCGGACAGAGTGCGATCTTCAGCGTTGGCTTAACGGCTATCATGGTGCTTGCTAGTCAGGGCATTGTTGCAGGTAACTCCTCTATCTACAAGCTAAAAATTACTCTCCTTTACCTGAAGTCATCCATAATAGAGGTGTTAATTTTAATTCAGTTATGATTGATGTGAGTTTTGGGTATTTCTGATTCTTGTAGTATTAACTCCATGATATGTATTTATATATATAGCAGTAACTAGTATGATTTTATTAGAAATGTTTTAGAAGTTTAGCGATTAGAGAAATATACTAAGAAATGTAACTCTGGGAAATTTCTGTTGAAGGATTGTGAAAGACTTCTATAAATGCAAGTACTTTGGTGGACCTTCTACAAAGGTCCTTTCTTTTTACCCTTCCTCCTTTCCATGTTGGCAAGATTCCGAACTTTTCCCCAATGTGCATATACCTGTGTGCTTTGTCTCCAGTAGTTTTATTACCTCCACTTGTCTTAGATTAATAAGAGCATGTTAATGAAAGAGTTGTTTCCCTGTGTTAGTATATTTATCTAGTTTACTACATAGGTCAAGGCTGCTTGTTCAGGTGTACGAGCTTCAAATACAGTAGCTGAGTGCAGTATTGGGAAGAGGCTTAGGTAAAGCAAGGTGGGTTTAGAGTAAAAGTAATGATGCTTTAAACACTGTTAGCATCCAGATGTGTTTGAAGGGTAGACTTTTGTATCATGTTGTCGTCTTTGCATCTGCTTTGCTCTGTCTGTCCTGGCAGCTCTTAAGTTACACTGTGAATGGATAAGTCAGTAGGGGCAGTTTATGGCTGTCCTTAGGAAAATTTAGACTAGCCTTTAAGCAGGGTGGTAGAAATACAGCTTTAAATCATCCTTCTGGACCTTTTTTGGCTGAACTGACCCAGCACTTTACCTTCAGCTAGTGTGTCATCCTGATTTTTCCCTTGATCAGCATATTTGGTAGTAAGCTGCCCAGAGGTTCTCACTATGTGTTTTAGCAGCTCTGTTGCATATAATATGACAGTCCTCTCTCTTGATCGTGACAAATTCATGTCATTTGGATTTGTCTATAAGTGTACTTAAGGTTGTCTTTCCTGATTCTTGCTTTCATATTCCTCCCCTTCTAACCTATTTAGGCCCCGTTATGTTTCTCTCATGGCATTTACAACTTCACAATCTGATGCTTTCCATGAATTTCCTGATATGCTGCTTGTCTTATTTTCCAGGTGCTATTATATCTTTTGGTTTTAGTGAAATCCACATGGACATTGCCATTTGTTTCAGGCACCTTCCTGTATAAAATCTGATCTTCTGGGGAGGTGTTTTGTTTACTATTTAAACATCTGGTTTTAGAATGGGATAAAAGAAACTAGACTTGATTGACTTGATTAGTTTTTTTTAAATCTTTTGGTGCTTCCTAACAAGACAACCCTTCAAGTCTCCTTATTCTCTCACATCCATTTTGTCTTAAGGCAGCCTTTCTGTTGGAGATCTAGTAATGGTGAATGGATTGCTGTTCCAGCTTTCTCTTCCCCTAAACTTCCTGGGAACAGTATACAGAGAGACAAGACAAGCACTTATAGATATGAATACCTTGTTTACACTTCTCAGTGTAGATACCAAAATTAAAGTAAGTAGTAGCTTATTTTCCTAAAGTATCTGGGTATTTAATAGGGCTGTTTGCTGGCAATGCCATCATTTCACCCTGTTTGTTACCTTCCAGGTTTAATTTCTATTCAAGAAAGAGATGTTGTGTAAGGATGCTGTTCTGCCTCTTCTTTAAGTGCAGTTTAGTGCAATAGCAGCTGCTTTTTTCTTGCAGAAGCTTTTAGTGACAGCAAAAGTTGCTTCACAGGAGCTGTGTTTGTATGGAGATTTTTTTTATTTCAGTATTCATGCCTTGTGCTTGAATTTTTATTTGTAATTAATGATGCAGAATTTATTACTGCGAAAGAAGTTGTGAAGCAGAGTGCTTACAGCAGAAAATCCAACCTTCTTTGGGGAAAAGGAGCAACAAACCAATTTCACTTGTGTGGCGGATTATAATTATTTTCAACATATCCAAGCTGGAGTGTCTGTTTGCCTTTTTCTGAGCTGGGAAATGGACTGTTCAGCTTCTTGAACTGCTAGAGATACTTTCTGGGCAGCGTATAAATTCTTCTTTTAATAGGACAAAGAGCTGGCTCCACCCCTGCAGATCACACCACAGACTGCTGCCATCATCTTTGATAATGTGCATTTTGAATACCTTGAGGGGCAGAAAGTCCTTGCTGGAGTGTCTTTTGAAGTCCCTGCAGGAAAGAAAGTGGCCATTGTAGGAGGTAGTGGGTCAGGGTGGGTAAATGGACTACACCAATCAATGATGCAGATTTTGTTTCTTAAACGTCTTTGTTCTTGTGTTTTGCTGTTGTTGTTGTTGTTTGTAACGTTAGTTGTGTTTGGAGATTGTAAATGGCAAACCAGGAGTGTAACATTAGCTTCAATTCTTTTCAATTTCAGGAAAAGCACAATTGTGAGATTATTATTTCGTTTCTACGAACCTCAGAAAGGAAATATTTATATTGCTGGACAGAACATACAAGATGTCAGCTTGGAAAGCCTGAGAAAGGCAATAGGAGTTGTACCTCAGGTATACCGTGTGTCATTCTCCCCAGACAGTCCATCATAATGCAGTGGTATTGTTTACTACTTTGGGAAGTCACCATGCTTCATTCCCCTCCCCAGCCCCACCAGAAATACTATGTTTTTATGTGCATCATATAGATCCAATTTCTGTAACGTGTTTAAGCCTCTTCATGAGAACCTGCCTCCAGCTCTAAATGATTTAGCTTTATAGTTGATTGCCACCCATAATGAGTTTGCAAAGTGGTAAAAGTTTGTATGACATATATATTTAGGACACAAAATGTATTAATTCCATTTTTTTTTTAAAGAAGTTTCCCCAAATACTTTTACCTTCAGGCTTTGTAGAAAAATAGAAGCTGCTCTGTATTGATTTCTTTAATGGATTGGGGGTGGGTTTTAAACTGTTGTTCATGGTTTCTTGTTTAAAATCTCCTTTCCATAAACGTAGGATGCTGTGCTCTTCCATAATACTATCTATTACAACCTGCTCTACGGCAATATCGGTGCGACGCCAGAAGAGGTGCACGCAGTAGCCAAGTTGGCAGGGATCCACGATGCTATTCTTCGAATGCCAAAAGGTTACAACACTCAGGTTGGTGAGCGAGGACTCAAGCTCTCAGGTGGGTTCTTAGGCATTTGAGTTCTTTGTATCCCTTTTGTTACCTCAAAGTTCAAAGTGTGTAGCTTACTCCTCAGTCAGACTTGCTTTTAGTTTATTTACTTTAGAATTGTAAGGCTAAATATTAACACGAAGACTTGTACTTTAATGCAACTGTAGCCTACGAGGTATTTAATGGAATGTATTTTTGGGGGATAGTGTCAAATCATAGAATCACAGAATGGTTTGGGTTGGAAAGGACCTTAAGGACCATCCAGTCCCACCCCCTGCCGTGGGCAGGGACACCTTCCATAGCCCAGGTTGCTCCAAGCCTCATCCAGCCTGGCCTTGGACACTTCCAGGGATGGGGCATCCACAGCTTCTCTGGGCAACCTGTCCCAGTGCCTCCCCACCCTCTGCGGGAAGAATTTCTCCCTGATGTCCCATCTCAGTCTTCTCCTTTCAGTTTAAACTCTCGCTGTCCTGTCACTCCTGCCCTTGTAAAAAGTTGATATGTAGGCATGTAGATGCATTTAAGTAAAAATGATCCTTCTCATAATCTATTTGGGTAGTGGAATGTGTGTGAATGGAATTGGGAACTTTACGTATGTGTGCTTTGTGTATAGGATGTGCCAGGCTCAGATGTGTGCATCGAGCTTCCAAATTTGAGTTCTTAAATCCAAACTTTTAATACCTGGAAGTCAGGTGGTGCTTTGTTTTTGCTGTTGATAGAAAAGTGGGCAACGGGACATGTTGCAGTGAGGTCATTCTGGACCCTGTTCGTAATGAAACCTGAAAGACATGAAGGACATTTCTTACCCATTAATTGTGTAAGAAACAACATGAAAATGGTGTCTGTGTATCCCCAAGCTGTGGTTTTATATTACCCAACCTTGGTACTGAAGCAAAGCAGTTCAGGTTCTCAAAGTCCCTCTGTACATACGCACGTTAGCCAGGCTTTGCTAGGCCTGCTCGCCTTTCAGGGCCACTCTTGCAAAATTCACTTTACTTCTCTACAGCTATCTGATATTAAGGGAAGTAGGGAAGATGATGCTGGAAAGCAAACATTCTTCCTGTGTTAGAGTTAAGGTGAGGTGAGGGATCACATGGAAACAGGGAAACATCATTTCCTGTGTCCTTTTTCTCCTTTTTACTGGAGGAATATAGGATTTTAAAATTAGTCTTAAGTATAACTCTTTAAGTAGTAGCTAGATGCCACTGGAATGTTTTCAGTCTTGAATCCCTTAGGTTGAAGTTGCACTGAACAGTGGCTGTCACATAAAGATGACACTATATGTGCACTGAATGAAACAAAACAGATTACTGTTTTGGTTGAAGGATATATGATTATTATTAGGTGACTTTTATTATATTTTAAATCAGTCTCTACCTTCTTATAGCTTTTAGTTTTTCTAATAGATCCTTGATGCAAGATAAAATGGGTTACTCGTTTCATGAGGTTTCCCTGCTTAATTCACTGATGGCTTGGGTTCCCCTTCTCAGTGGGTATTACAAGAAGTGTAAGGTGCGTTTGCGAAATGAATTAAACCCGTTTCCTCTTGTTTTGAAAGAGCAGTTTTCTTCTGCTCTGACTCCCTGTACCAGACTCGGTTTATTGGTAGGCCGAGGAACAGGTCAGCTGTTTGCCTTGGCACGTAGGATGCAGTGGTAGAGGGCAGGCTGCTCCGCTCTGTTGGGTGTGAGGTACGGCCCGACAGGAGAGTGAAACTTGTATCAGTGAGTTTGGAAATGTCAAGGTACTGAGGTTGCTTGGGCTCCTTATTTTTAAGTCTGGTGAGGCTTCTTGTACCTCTAGTCTAAGATAAACACAAATTCTTGTTCTGTGCTTTTTTAATAATATTTTGTGGGAGAAATACGGGGAGCGAAAGCTCTTGTCAATTTAAGTGCTCCTCTTTGAAAGCCAGGCATTTTATATGCATGACGGAAAGAACGATGGGTTTGGGACCACTGGCACGGTGGGTGCCTCGGCGACAGGCACAGTGACAGGTAACATGGGTCCCGGGTGGGCGAGCAGCCGCAGTAACACGTGGGGCCAGCAAGGGCTGCGATCTTCATCTGTGGCCCTGGGTCTGTGAGCAGGTAAAGCTGTTGAGAGCAGCCATTGATCAGTTTAAAAAATAAGTAAATTGGACTGTCCCTATACACAAAAATTTGGTGTATTATAGATTTCTTTCTTCCAGTAAATAAACAATTTCTTTGAGGACTGACACTGGAAAACTGTGTGTCGGAAGTGCTATCTTGATACTTGAAGACCGGTGGATTTAATTATTCTAATTGGCAAGAACCTTAATACAAACAAACTCCCCCGTGGCAGTACCGTAGCGTGGATAACCATCCTCAGTATCTGAGTTTCCCTCCGCTTGCCTGGTACAAAAATAGGCATAAGGAAGTCTTAATTGCAGTGAGAACTTGTGTCAATTTAAATGATGAAGTAAGCATTTAGTGCGGCTCTTACTGGCCTCAGTGATTGATTCATCAAGAGTAAGTAATGAAAACCAAGCTGAGTTGGTGTTTTCGGGAGGAATCCATTTCAGTGTTTTCGAAGTGATGTGTAGTAGAGCTGTAACAGCCCCAAGCCCTGACTTTGAACGAAAAGGTTAACGTGCTGCTGTCCCGAGTATGAATGGGGAAGCATGTGAAACCAGCCTGTGTTACAAATGTAAGGAAAGACTTTGGATTTTGTTATTGTATTGTGTCTTTCAGACATGGATATTGTCGAGCTGAGAGTTTTGAACATGCTTTGAAGGGAAGGGAGACAGCCTATTAAAATAAACTGAGTAAATTGTACAGTTCTAATTGCTACTGAGGTCTGCCAAAGACAGTTTCAAATTTGAACTGCAGCATTATTATCAGCCTTTTAAATGCTTTATTAAAGCATGTTCTCTCCTGATAGGAATGGAACATTAACAAGAATAAAGTGGTATTAAATGGAATGTTTTGAAGTCTCAAATAAAACAAAGGAGAAGCGCATGAATGTGGAATGTGTTGCGTACCAAATATTTAGCAGACTTTAAGTTCCCAAATGCACCTGTTTTCCTGTCTAAAAGTTGTCCTAAGTTATTTGTGGGTAGATGTTGGCTCTAAGAATTGTGAAGGAAGGAAGCTAGTCTGAAACTTCCATCAGAAACTAACAGGCAGTAGAATGCATAATGAAGGTGGCTTTCTGTACCATGTTAATTGTGTTCTTTAATGAAATTTGTTAGTTAAAGCTGTTGGGTATGGACTCTTCAAATCTGGGCCATGGAGTGGGGAGTTACATTTCAGGGAGAGACCTGAAAGAAAAAATGTGTGCCAGATGTGTCAAATACATCAGGCACGGACAGAGCATCGTTTGTTGGCGAGAGATTCGGGATGTATGTATGCGAAGGTTCTGTATGGGTCACGGCTTAGACCAGGTAAATGAGCTCATACTCCCTGGAGTATAGTGTGAATTACTGTAGAGTGAGGTACTGTAGGTCGTCATTAGTTACCTGTATGAGGCTCTTGCCTTCTAGCATATACGAAACAGTTCTGTCTTCTGCTAAAACTATAAGCCGTCTTGAATCAGTTTGGATTTACCAGGGAGCAGGAACTTGTGTGATGTACAGACCTTTACCAGTAGCAGCTATGATGTATATTAAAAAAAAAAAGGGTCGGGAAAAAACCCACTTCAACCTCCAAACCAGTCATGTCTGCTGTTGAATTTAGAGTATCATGGTTGTAACAACTTTTTTTTTTTTCCCCCTGTCCCCATTCAGGAGGAGAAAAGCAGAGAGTTGCAATTGCTAGAGCAATGTTAAAGGAGCCACTTATTTTTCTCTATGATGAAGCCACATCATCTTTAGATTCAATTACAGAAGAGGTAAATTTGGATTAAAAAAACCCTGAAGTGGTGTAATGGTGGATGGCTGATTCTATTGCTTTTCCCTTGTTCTTTTCCTCTCAGAAAGAACTCTGTTCTTCTTGCCAGGTTGCTGTCACGTGTTCTGGTGTTGTTATTAAGAGATCCTGTGCCTAAGCCCTTTTCCTAAAGGCCAGAGTAGAGGCACTGGGTCTGTCGACCCTGAGACTAAGTGAAGAGTATCAGCGCTGCCTCTGGGTTCATTTTCTGGTTTACACTTTGAGGTCCCGTTCACTATGAGATGTTCATCTCTTGAAGCTGTTGCAAATACCTCACGTGGCCATGAAGCATGAGCCTTTCCAATCCACTTCAGAAGGTGTTTAGATGGCATCTAGTATTCCTTAAAAATGTCTTAAAAATAATTGGGATGTAATGCGGAAGAGAAACCCTCTTGTTTGTTGTGCAGCATCTCTGAGATGCGTAATCAGGTAGGTGTAACCTGTGGTGCTGGTAGTAATTGGTATTCACTTCACAGGATGGGCAGTGAAACATCAGAGCGTTGTGACACAGATGTCATGACACTACCACTGTCGCTGCATCAGGCTTCATAACTACTTCTTTGCTTAAACACAAAACTCTCAGCACCCGCAGTAATTTCACAAACTAATGTCATCAAAAACTAGAGCTAAAGCTATGTTTATGTTCACTTATGCAGATTATCAGGCGAATTTATTGACCTGTAATCACTAAATTATTTTCATTTTCCACACACAAAGAAATCAGAGTACAAACTACATCTGTATAGTACAGCATTCAGGTATAATACAGCTCCCTCATCGGAGCAGAAAGGTTCAGTAGACACAGTTCTACAGAACACGACTTGGATTCTTTCCCCCTTCTGTCTTGCTGTATTTATTCCAAGAATCGTAAGCAAAGCTGAAAGTTTCACAGCAACAATGCACTTTAAAGACAGCAAATGAAAGTGAGTCCTTCCCCGAGAGTATGTCTGATACTCAAAACGTTTCCCAACAGAGGCAAGCGTTTCTCAGGACAACCCATTGGACATGTCACTCATTGTAGGGAGGGCCCAGATTCGCAAGTAGTGCCACGTGCACCTGATTGCGCTTTGGGAAGGCGGAAAACTGCTCACAAAAGCAGCAGTGGATAGATAGGTAATCTCCAGGATGGCTTTATGTTCCACATTGGCATGATACTGTGAGGGGAATTTTTTTCTTTAACTTCCATGGATTGGAAAGTATTATTTCTTTCATGTGCATTCACTGTTTTCTTTGCTTTTGCAGTGTGGCTGTGCAGGGAAGTTTTTCCTGAAATCAAATAACGCTTCCTTTATCCCTTGGGATGTCTGCATTATTCTATGTATAAAGGGGGGTTTTTTGCAGTTTGAGGACTTTATCAGAGCCACAGATAATTCATACTTGGGATTCTCTGTAGATACTCATAGCTGTTCCGTACTGTGAAGCTATAGCAGTACTGGAGGTAGTTCTGAAAACTTATTTACAATAATTTGCATATTTCCAGAAGGCATTTTATTTCTTTTCATACCACCTAGGCCTGTGTAAGAGTTGTCTCTGGTTTAACTTTGCAGAATATTCTCAGTGCCATGAGGGACATCGTGAAACACCGAACGTCGGTTTTCATTGCGCACAGGTTGTCAACAGTAGTTGATGCCGATGAAATCATTGTGCTGGATCAGGTGAGGCCATCGCCCTCTCACGTGTGATTTTTTTTTTTTTCATGCCACGTCAGCATTTGTTTTGGCATCTGTGTGCCTGTTCTGAAATATTAAACTCCCACTGAGCTACTTGAAGTCCCATCTTTGGGAACGAGGCACGTTAGAAGGTTCTAGCCCAAGTTTTTTTTTTAATATTCCTCTTTGCAACTAACAGTGTATCAGTTGCAGAAAGCTGTACGTGTGACTGTTGTATTTTTACTTCATTTGCACAGTTTGCTTAATTATATGTTCTTTATATGGATTATGACAAATTTCACTTGATGCTCTGGGACTGGCTTAACGTTGCGTATTTTTAATTTATTACATGCTTCTACCAGATTAGGTTTCCTAATGTGTTCCCCCGATTTATGCTTCTTTCTCATTACTCAGCGAGTGTTTTTCACATACACCCATTGGTTTTCCCTTTCAGTGGAAGGAGAGGATTGCATGTTCTGTTTCTATGCAGATAAAACTGTTGTAGGATTGTTCAGTCTAATTCTGTTATAAATCTGAACACCATTCCTTATTGTACCTGTAGAGAAGTGTGATTATTCCCTTTCTGTATGCTTTTCTTGCAAGAGGAAAGAAAAAAAACCCTGAAAGTTTCAACATTCGATTTACTAATATAACTATTCAGCTGTTACCCCATATTCAGTCTGTCCTAAATCCATTTTCTTCTCTATTGGCCATCTCTGGCTATAGATTTAAAATAAACACATGTCCTTATTGCAAGTTCATCGTTACTCTTTTACCTGACACTGCTGAAAGTACAGTGCGCTAATCTGCCAATAATAGATGTTAAATTTTAGCTCTGCATTCATTTTCTCCCATTGCTATTTATATGCTTGTGATTAGAGGTGTATTTACTGACTAAAATATACATATGGAAAGGAAAATAAATTATTCCTGTAGTATGTTAAATGGTTTCATGGGGAATTGGAACAAAATCTTGTGAAATGGTGACACTTGCAACTATCTTTGCTCTACAAATCTGGGCTTTGTATGAATCTCAGAGATTCACAGAGTGGAAGGGG